AAAGTAAAACTTCAGCGAAGACATTTTAGAAATATATTTAAAGAATCAAAATATATTGTCTTCATTTGAAAAAAAAAAGGCTTGAGACTTTTCAAAAAATACGTTTCTTCATGATTATGATGATGTAGCTTTAAACAAAAATTATTGTTTGCTTACAAAAGAAAAATAGCTATAAAATCATGAATAATGCGTTTATTAGTTTTATTTTAGTGATGTATATTTTTACTTTAACAAACTGTAGTCAATATTTTTGATTATCAGAACTCCTTAAGAGTGAGCTATTAAAAATTTGATCAGATATATTCTGTGATATTATATTATATTACAAGGAAAATAGTTTTACCTAATTCATATTATGTTCAAATCATATATATATTCATATTATGTAACGATTAAACATTGCTTACATAATAACAACTATAACTTAGCATAATTCATACTTTTTCAATATATATATTTAAAATATTATCGCAACATATTTTAAGTTCAATATATCTAATGGTATATTAAAATTATTAATACTTACTCCCTTGTTTTTCTAAAATATATGAAAAGATATAAATATAGTGTCATGTCATTTCCATTAGTCTTTCAGAGGGCTAATTTTTTTACTCATTTAAAATTTAGATATGAATTAAGTATTTATTTATTTCAGAAATATGCCTTAGAACTAATAATTAAACATGTAATGGCTGTTTGCCATTCTTGCCGAACTGTTTACCTGCATAAGAAACTATCTCAATAAAAAAATGCTTCTGAAAAATGAATTTAATATTCAAATACTTAAAAAAATTGTAATTTCATTATGTTCATATTAATTGATAAAAAAACTTTTTAATTTTAGGCAATTACAAGGTGATCGAAGGCTTTGAAAATTTAAATTAAAAGGAAAGGGAATAATTTCGCAAGTAAATTATCGATTAGTTCTATTTTTCATGGTTCGCACACAAGCTACTCCATTTGATGCACTATTCATTTATAAGCGTTTTATCACCAACAACAAGAATTTCATTTAAGAAAACAACAAGAATTGAAAACGCGTTCATATAAGGAAAAGAATATTGCCCAGGTAATAGGAAAAATAACTATTAAACAGTACATGTTTTATCTATTAAACGGTAATTGAAGAGAAAAAAACATTCATTGTATTGACTATAATATATTAAAAATAAACCAATAAGTACCCATGTATAATGTGTTTTCATAGTTTTAAAAGAAATGTGTAAAATATTATACAATTTAAGAGTTAAGTACGAAAAAATTCTTCTTAAAGAAAAAGATTTTTCTTTTAAAACGCGGGATTTCATAAATATCGTTTTGATGTCTTCCGAAAATACTATTATATTTTGATAACTATTGACAGTTTTATTTTCATATAAAGAAAGAAAAACAAGTTCAGATTATCTCTGCATTATTATTTCTTTGACATTAAAATTTTGAAAGAAGCGAATAACTTTAACTGATATAAATCATTAATAAATATTAGAAATAATAATGTTCTAAGAATAGAATCCTGGAACACTCTTTGATTAGTCCCATGATTCTTTCTTGGTTCATTACTGTTTCCAATAAAAATGTTTCTCGGAAAATTATCTTCAATTGAATTATTACGAATTTTAATCAGGTTTTCTTAGTTTAAAAGTAACGAAATAGACCAGTTAAGGACACTACCCATAAATCCAGCTTATTCCAGTTTGAACTAAATTAGAATGATATACATTATCAAAAACTTTAGTTTTCTCTAGAAAAAACTGCAACAGTTGTAGTATTTTTTATCTATACTAGCGTAAATGTATTTTCAAATTTTCAAGCGATTTTTTTCTACATTTTTACCTTTAATAAATCCAAATTGGCTTCAGAAACTATTTGCTGGACATAAATAGGATAAATAGCATTTATTTGGATATAGCTCTATTTTTGAGAACATTTGTAGTAGAAAGATAGATCTATAATTTGATCATTATATTCATTGACAGAAGTTATTGTAAAATCTATTTATTGAATTAGAACTTAATGAATATTTCACATCCATCGTTGAACAGCGAACCCAATTTTTGGGTTTACGACTAGTAACGTTCACCTCCGCAGCCTTGCAATTTTGAACCAATCCAGAAGACAAGGAAACTACTGGATTTGTACCCCCAGAGGTATTGATTTGTTATGGGAACATGGAGGACTTAGTGACTTGACAGATTTAGTGTGCATCAGTCACCATTTACTACACAGGGAGTCTTCGACCGGTGGGGATCGAACCCACGAACTAGATGAATTGTTAACATGAGATATTAAAAAAAATGNAAGCATATTCGTTTTTTTATCTCATGTTATTTATGAGTTTACATTTTTATTTGTTCGTACTATAATTAAAAAATATGTTTTTGAAGTATTATCGGACTCAATCAATTCGTGGACAATAGTATGATATGAAGATTTAAAAATATGGGCAGCATTTTCTTTCGATAAATTAAAAAGAAATTAGGCATGAAAGTTTCACAATTTTAGACACAATTTTAGGTATTATTCTTAAATTTTATACATATGTGATACATATATTCTCAAAGTTTTGATATTCATACTTACTTGCCATGTTCTTTACAACTGAAAGATCACGAAAGCAGTTAAACAGCGTTTTCACAACTTTATAAAATTTTAAGATGGCGGAAAATTTGAGAAAAAATATTTGTCTTTCAAATTATTCCTATCTACCCAAAAACCACTAGAAAAAAATGCATGTTTGTACAAAAACAACACTTGTAAAAGTTTTTGTTTCGCAAATAAACACAACAAGCCGCATTTTATTTTATTATTGCAAATATATTTTTGGCTCTGCAGGCATATGTAATTCTTAAAGAAAAAAATTCTTCATCGCGTAAAGAAACGCTGTTTTAAGATAAATTCAAATATTCTTTTCTCATAGCGTGTTTTGCGTTTTTTATTTAATTTGCAAGTTATATTATTTTATTTTACAATATTTATCCGATCTTCCGTTAAGGTATAAGTTATTGCAATTTGTTTCCTCATATCAAAAAAGAAAAAATTGTGATCTGTACATTATAGCCTACTTTTAAGTAGTTAATCATGATAATACTTTTAATACTTTTAATACTTTTAATACTTTTAAGTTTTACAGTTGCCTTTATTATGCATTACTGTAAAACAAATTTTAATGCGATAGTATAGTTTCAAATGTGTTATAGGATTTGTTTTATTGCTATTTCATTTATAATTAAAAATAAATTTAGTGAATTAAAAGGTCAAGTTTTCTGAAGTTAATCAAAACATCTCGAACCAAAACATCAATATTTTATGTTTAAAAATTAATTTAATAAATTTTTTTCCCATGAGATATCTAACAAGGATAAAGGGAAAAAATAACACTTATCCGCCATTTCTTTTGTTTTTTCTCTCTCTGCCTTTATATATTATATCTATGTTACCGGCAAAGTTTGAAATCTGGCACTGTATACAAAAAAAATTTCTTCTAAATAGTTTTAAAAATGCTTATTTTGCATTTTTTTAAACATATATCTTTAAAAAAATTATCATTACAAAAATTGCATGAAACATCCGATCTTTTCTTAAAAAAGAACCAATGCTATTATCATATTTCAAACAAGATATTCAAGTAAAGGTTTAGATTTAATTTCATACAATGATGAAACTTTATTTAGTCAATTTTTTTAAACAATATAAATTCCTTCATGTGATAAAATTTCATACTTACGATCAACATATGAATCTAAAGAAGTGAAAGATTATCAAAAACTAGAAACACATTGTGACAATTTATTGACAATTTATTAATTTTAGAAATATGTCAAACAATATTGTTTACAAAGATAAGTATTTGACAAAGTACACTTAGATTAAATAATTCAATTAAATATTTTAAAAAATGAAAAGAAAAAGGAAACTTTTCATATGCAGTAAAAAATATTATTTTAATTTTTTAACGATGTTTTTCCAGACTCCAGAACCAATTTTACTTGTTTTATCATAGATTTTACCCAAATTTTCCATTTTATTATATCCTAATCAATACTTAAACTTATGAGGAAATAAAACTATATTTCGTTCAGCTAATCGTTTTTTAATCTATGAACCAGAAAGTTCATGCCTTTGTATTTGTTAATTTTTTTATTTATTTATTTGTTGTATTTGAAATCATAGCATACAGCAACATTTTGTTGAGAAATTCCATTTTCAAGAAAAATCTCTTATTTTATCCTAGCTCCTTTATGTTTGCTTTTGTTACTTTTTATTTATTGTACTAATTGGTATTCATTACTTTTTAAGCAGAAATTAGTTGACCTACTCAGCTTATTCGAGAAACACCTAAAATATTTTCTTTTTCTTAGAAGTACGCTTAATCTTAGAAGTATGATTAACCTTAAACCTTTGATTGAATTAACACCTGCACTACTTTACTAAGTAGTATAATATGATGCAGATACGTAACAATATGACATTCCTTAACAGTGTAGCAATACAAAATCCCATACATGTAATATTACATTATATATTTCTCATTATAAGGCACAAAGGCGTTTAAAGAGCTTTGAATAACACATTAGATCTCAAACTTCTGCGTTAGATTTTTTTTTACTCTATAGAAAAATAGTATGTAATTTTTGTACAACGAACATGAGAAAATCAATCCTAGGTTATTGTGACATCGGTATCTAAGTGTAAAAAAAGCCTGCTCGTTAAATATTGTGATTTCCTTACTGTTTTTCCTTATTGTTTTTTCCTTACTTTTAATATTTCCTTTTTTTTTTAATTTTTTTTACCGTTATCAATGTTCTAAACGAGGTTAAGATATGATACTATAGATATATTTATTTGCAATTAAACACAAACTAATTCTAAATAGTTGCTTTTAGTGTAATAAAACTAGGAATTTTCTACATTTTATGGAAAATATTTTTATAAATTATTTTAACGTTACAGAGTCTTAGTTTTAGAATGCTTTCGTTTGTAAAAAAAAATGTTTTACTTACTAATAATGAAATCTCCAACTGCAACAAAGAAAAATTTATCTTGATTATGTTTAGCAACTATTTCTGTTTTTATATTTTATTCAAATAAAGATGGTAGCCAAAGTGTCATTTACAAATCAAACTAAATTTTTTCATAGAGTTTGCAATTTTGATAGCGAAATAATATATATATATATATA